GGCTGCTATGAAATTTATTTATTATTTTTTTGAGACAGGGTCTCACTTTGTCACCCAGGCTGGAATGCAGTGGCATGATCACTGCAGCCTCCACTTTTCGGGCTCCAGCAATCCTCCAACTTCAGCCTCCAGAGTAGCTGGGACTACAGGCAGGCCACCATGCCCAGCTAATTTTTTGTACTTTTTGTAGAGATGGGGTTTTGCTATGTTGCCCAGGCTGGTCTCAAACTTCTGCTCTAGAACCATCCACCTGCCTCAGCCTCCTGGAGTGCTGGGATTACAAGGTGTGAGCCACCATGCCTGGTACTATGAAACTAAAATGAGGTATTAACTGTATACAAAGCACATATTCTCTTACCTGGTGCATTATAATATTATAATAAATGGTAGCTCACAGCATGTCCATTCAGACTTGGGCCTAACACGTTTGTATTTTAAAAGTGCCTATAATCCCAAAAGCTTTTGAAATGACCTCCTTGTAAATCAGACTGTTTTTGCAGAAACACATCACTTAGCATGGTTGGTCAGTGCCATTCTCAGAATCATAAGAAGAGTAAGGTTTTTCCTTTCCGCAGTGTTTTGTATTTATTTATTTATTTATTTTGAGACAGAATCTCACTCTGTCACCAGGCTGGAGTGCAGTGGCTTGATCTTGGCTCACTGCAACCTCCACCTTCCCGGGTCCAAGTGATTCTCCTGCTTCAGCCTGCCAAGCAGCTGGGACTACAGAAGCCCGCCACCACGCCCAGCTAATTTTTGTATTTTTAGTAATGACCGGGGTTTCACCATGTTGGCCAGGATGGTCTCGGTCTCTTGACCTTGTGATCTGTCTGCCTCGGCCTCCCAGACAGCTGGGATTATAGGCGTGAGTCACTGCTCCTGGCCACTGTTTTGTATCTTAATAGGAAAAAGGCTGGGCACGGTGGCTTACGCCTGTAATCCCAGCACTTTGGGAGGCTAAGGTGGGCGGATCACATGAGGTCAAGACTTTGAGACCAGCCTGACCAACACGGTGAAACTTCGTCTCTACTAAAAATGCAAAAATTAGCCAGGTATGGTGGTGCACACCTGTGATCCCAGCTACTTGGGAGGTTGAGGCAGGAGAATCTCTTGAACCCAGAAGGAGGTTACAGTGAGCCGAGTTCATGCCGCTACACTCCAGCCTGGGTGACAGAGGGGGTGAGCCTCCAAATAAAAAAAAAAAAAAAAAAAAAAAAAGAGAGAAAAGGAAATGAGAAGCCCTTATGAGTTGTAACACTTTTAGCCCTGAACTCCCCTCCCCTTTAAAAAAAAATTCAATGGTTGAAAATTTTGTACAGAAACGTGTTTATTACTATAGGTGTCAACACAGCCTTGGGTCCGGACAGACAAGCCAGCTGTTCTCATGGGAGCTGTGTATATACAGCAAAGATAATTACTTTGGGCTACAGCTACCAACATGATTTAGCAAACTCCCTGCCTGCAAAAGTCTCACCATCCCCTAGAGAATGGGCCCAAACTCATTGCAACTGTGCAGACCTACCTGAGCTTTTCCTGCCACAGGCTTTTTAAGATTTGTTATAATTTGCATTCCTTAGGCAAATGGAATTTAAATTCCTTAGGCAAATTGCATCCTGATGGAACACCAAGATGACACGCATGCCATGATCTCATTGTTTGGGATTTCTGCTTTAGAGTCATTAATGTATGCCTCAACGGGCAGGGGAGGGAAAGCAGCTGGGCTCGGTTCCACTTTGCTTTCCTGAGTGCTCCCTTACAGCTGAATAACCCTTGCTTTTCAAAGCACCTTCACAAATATCCCCGTAGCACTTCCTGATATTCTTGTGTGGTGGGGAGCGCGTTATGAAGTGTTGCAGAAAGAGTCACAAGACCGGTATTCTGGTCCTGGGTTGCAAGTTAGGAAGCCTGTCAGTGATGTTCCTGTGTACCCACTAAGAAATGCATGGTAAGAGGGAATGGGTGGGCTGTGATCTGACCACATGTGTCATTAACTGTTCTGCTCTTGCACAAGGGGAGAATCAGGTCCTATGTGTCACAAGGAGGAAAAGCGGAGTCTGTACATTTCAAATCATACATTTGATTTGCTAGACAGAACTACAAATTCTTTCAACCATCAACCTGAAATGAAACTTTCTCCTCCTACTTATCTTCACCGATTTAAATTCTCCTATCATCTCAGTAATAGGGTGACAGAATTTCCTTGGGACTCCGACTAAGGTGGCATAAACCAATATCTGAGACAGGTCTCAATCAATGTAGATGTTTATTTTGCCAAGGTTAAGGACAATGCCTGGAAGACAGGTCTGTGAATTTCTACAAAGATGATTTTGAGGCTTCAGTATTTAAAGGGGAAAAGCTAGTTGGAGGGGAAAAGAGGGAGGGTATTACTAAATCCACAAGTTGCAAGAGAAAAGGAGCAGGTAGGGGGCCGGGCATGGTGGGTCATGCCTGTAATCTCAGCAGTTTGGGAGGTCGAGGCAGGTGGATCACTTGAAGTCAGGAGTTCGAGACCAGCCTGGCCAACATGGTGAAACCCCGTCTCTACTAAAAATACACAGATTAGCTGGGCATGGTGGCGTGCACCTGTAATCCCAGCTACTCAGGAGGCTGAGGCAGGAGAATCTCTGGAACCCGGAAGGTGGAGGTTGCAGTGAGCCAAGATCGTGCCATTGCACTCCATCCTGGGTGACAAAGTGGGACTCTGTCTTTTTTTTTTTTTTTTTTTAAAGAGCGGATAGGGGAATAGTCACTTATATCTTTGTCTGGTGCTCAGTAAATGGGCACTTTACATAAGGTAATGTGAATATAGAGTAGCTATCTCCACAGATATTTAACCTTTTATCTGTAGGTTATCTGCTTAGGAACAACAACAAAAAAGGCAGTTTCTTGCATGATCAGCTCTCAGCTTAATTGTTTTCTTTTGGCAGAGTGAATTGGTGTCTCAAGTTTCTATTTTCATTCACAGAAGCTATTTTGTTATGGACTTTCATGTTCCTAGTTCTTCCTGATTCTAATCCTGCAGCCGTGGTGGATCGGTTTGCTGAGAAATTGCCTCTAGATTAGGGAGCGATCAGCAAAGGGCAGATGGTGTGAGGAACGTGGATGTGAGCTGGAATCACAGTTCTTGTTCTTCTGGGTCTGGGGGCTTTAATGAATCACTAACTCTTGAAGCCAGTGCTCGCCAAACTTTTTGGCACCAGGCACCGGTTTCGTGGAAGACCATTTTTCCGCGGAAGAGGTTGGGGAATGATTTTGGGATGAAACTGTTCCACCTCAGATCATCAGATCCCAGGGAGTGTGGAGCCTGGATCCCTTGCATGTGCAGTTCACAATGGGGTTCACGCTCCTGTGAGATTCTAATGCCGCCCAACCCACAGGAGGTGGAGCTCAGGTAGGAAATAACGCTAACTGGCCTGTTGCTCACCTCCTGCTGTGTGGCCTAACAGGCCAGGGACAGGTACCTGTCTGTAGTCTAGGGGTTGGGGACACCTGCTCTAAGTCATATCCTGACCATAGAATGGTAAGGACACATAGGCTTCACTGGGTGCGTGTGAGGCTTAAGCAAGCACATGAAAAGAGGATAAAAGTGCTGTAAAGACACATGAATGCAGCTGTAAAATCCCCCACACCCCTCTCACCCCTCTCTTTCTGCACTCCCCTACCTAGTGGTGTTGGAAAGTACCTATATCGGATTGTCTTCCTTCATTTTTCTTTAGATCCTGCTTTTCAAAAATTTCAGTTGTCTCCACAGCCCTGAAAAACAAACTTCTTAAAGAATCATGTAATGTGGTTAGATTTGCCCAACTTCTTCCATTAAATTGGTAGATAGGATGCTTGGAGTGTGTAAAACAATTACCTTGAGCTTTGTTAAGCCCTTCGCTTCTCCTCCTGAGTGCGTAGGAACCCGTCCTAGTGCTCACCACGTAGCACTGACATTTCTATTTTAAAATCTGTGAGGGCAGATTTTAATTCTGCAAGGGCAGGGTGATGCCGACCTTGCTCACAGCTTGATCTCCAGTGTGGGGTACCTAGCTAGTGAAAAACTGACAAAATGCATTAAGCACGTAGTAGGTGGTGTGACAAGAGCAATCTGAACCCACAGTGGGGGCTTGTGAGGGTGGCTACTCCCACCTTGGTAACCTTGTAAACTATTGGGAACCAATGATTCCCGATCTCTTCAAATAACTAAAGTATTAGGTATTCAGGCCTAAGACATTTTGATCTTTATTTTATACAGCTCTGAACAAACCAGGTCTGAAGAGCCAAGTAAAAAAAACCTCCCTGATGTGTGTGTGTGTGTGTCCTTTAAAAAATGATAAGGGGAAGGCTGGACATGGTGGCTAATGTCTATAATCCCAGGACTTTGGGAGGCCAAGATGGGGGATCGTTTGAGTCCAGGAGTTTGAGACCAGCTTGGGCAACATGGTGAAACCCCATTGCTACAAAAAATACAATAATTAGCTAGGTGTGGTGGTATGCGCCTGCAGTCCCAGCTATTTGAGAAGCTGAGTTGGGAGGATTGTTTGAGCCGAAGAGGTCAAGGCTGCAGTGAGCCTTGATCATACCACTGCACTCCAGCCTGGGCAACAGAGTGAGACGCTGTCTCAAAAACAAACAAACCACAAAACAAATTATGATAAGGTTAGAGTCCCCCCCACCCCCGACCTTTTTCTATGCCCAAAGTAAATATTTGTTGAAATACAACCTCTTCTAAGATAGACATCACGTTGTGAGACATGTGATTGTTAAAATGCCATCACAACCTGTTTAAAATCAGTAGCCATAGTATCTATATAATCTATGTCACCTTCATCAGTTTAAATTTAAGACTCCATCAGGTTACATAATTAGTCTTTTTCAGTTTAAAACTTAAGATCCCATGAAGTTGGACAATTTCCAGTCTCTGTCATCTGAAAATCAGCAATGAATGAAAAGGAGGCTTTAAGATGATCGGGATCCTAGATGCTCTTCCCTTTGCAATAACAAGCTAATCCAATCAGTTCAGTTTAGCAAATAATAAATTTATTAGGTGCCTACAAGTACAAAATACTGAAAGCTGCTGCAGGGGATTATAAAGATGTGTAGGAGACGAGCCCTGCCCTCAAAGAGCTTACAATCTAGACAATTAGTCACACAAATAAGTTGTGATGGTGCTCTAATTGACCTCAGCAGAGTTCTCGAAAATGTTCATATCCTTCCAATTTTTCTCTTGTCAAATTAAATAGTGGGAAAGAGACCTTTTGTGGCATTCGTCGGCGAGCCTGACTCTGCTTGCGAGCATCTTTCTGCTGTTGCACGTTCTTGTCATCCTCTCAGCGTCGTTTCCTAACTGGACCTTTGTTTGGAGAGAATCTCCGTGCTTCCTGAACCTTCACCAGGGTTTCCTGTTGGGAGTGGGTGGCTCAGTTGCAGTTTGGCCTTGGAATGATTTGCAGTCCGATTTTTCCTTCAGCAAATCGCTCTTTTGATTGTAGCTGATGCTAAAATGCTATGCTTTGCAATGTGTGGTTTTAAGGGTGGGAGTGAGATGCAATTTTAAGGAAGGCAGCCCAGACTTTTCCCTTACTTTAAACATTTAATAGTGCACTTATTGATTATATTCTGTACAGATATAGAGCAAGTTATAAACCTCTTCCTTTTATTTATTTTCTTCACTTAGACTGTATTCACGTAAAGTGTATTTACAATAAGGAGAAAAAAGCCTTGAGGTACAAAACCCAAAAGAATATCTGAGGTATAAATACAAGTATATCTTAAATAATAATCTTTATCATGCTTTATCTATGTTTGAAAGCACAGTGGACATGTTTCTTAATAGAATGGTATATACAACATACAATCTTACAAATCTGGAAGCCATCAAAATTGAATATCCAAGTATATCTTCATGAGGAACACTGATATCCAAAATACTCAAATTTTAAAACTCTAATCTGACCCCCGCCCCGAAATTCTTCAAAGAACCTTTGAAATAACACTGAAAATGGTAACTACGTTATAACAAAATACAAATCCTTCTTACAACTCTCATTCATACATTATTCACTTTTGATCCATACAAAATAAATTTACTAATACTGTCTCTGAGTCAATCCTTACCATTACAGTAAAACCTGAATAAAGACCACCCTTCTAAAAAACTTCACTGCTTTGAGTTGGTTTTCTTGTTGTTTTTTACTATGATTCCTATTTTTCATTACCACTTAAATATATTTCAAGGGCATTCTAAAGGAAAAAAAAGAAAGAAATGTAGGAAAAATAAAATAAGACCAAAAGTCATAAAACCAGAAAACCTATTGATAAGAACAAACCCAATTAATAAACACATGTGGCTTTCGGGAATGCCGTTGACAACCAAAGGCGGGGGAAAAAGCCTTTCATAGGCAGGTTAAATTTACAGGGATTTCCTTGGGCCACACGGTTTCCTACATTCCCAAACATAGTGTCTTAAAGCGTTTCTGTTACAAACACAAAAATGCAAAGAATTCTAACAGGGAAAACGTTTTGATGCTTGATTTAAGAGTAAGTGTTATCACGTTCAGTTTTTACATCTCAACTTAAACAAAACAAAACCCTGTGGATCAGAGCCAGTAAGGTCGGAGGGAGCAGTTCATCCCTGAACTAATCCATACTGGTTAAAACTACATCACTATTTGCAATCAGGTCTAAAAAGAAACTGCATTTGAAATGGGTGTCAGAGCCAATCTATTACAATCAAAGTACAAAAGAGGTTGGTGGAGAAGGAATATGCTTAGTAACTTGGAAAAAAAACAACAAAGCATAAACAGACAAGGGTGTTGGGCCCCCTTTCTGGGTGGATTCATGGGTAGTCAGATATTCCAGGTTAAACTGAACCTGACGCATCGATCTCCTTCTTGGAGGTGTCTCAGTGTGCCAGACACTGAATCCATCTTAGACATCTATTGCCATTCAACCAGCAACAAACACACATTCACGCTCCTCTGTGCAAACCTTTCTTTGCTCATCTTGGTGAGAAAACACGTCAAAGAGTACCAGCTATTCCAGTGGATACACCAGTCCCTCAACACACTGCCAATAAAGCGACACAGGTACGCATACACCGATATCACGAGAGAATGAAGTATCTTCATTATCTTCCATAATGTATTTAAAGAGTTTTGCTTCTCAGAAGCAATTTGAATAAGAATACAAATACATTTTTTTTTGCACAGTCTTACATATTCCAGTCAAGGTCTATGAATACAGACCCTCAACAAACAGGAAGCAGCTTTAAAAATGTATCAAATTGCTATAGTCAATTCCTACACTCCAGCACGTAGTTTTCTTTGTTTCAGGATTAGACACAGAACCCATTCTTCAAGGACTGGCAAAGGTTCTAGAAACAAACACCCTGGTGGTGGAAGCGGTTGCTTTGCTTCAGTGATCACCTAGATTTGGTGTCTTTGGTTTCAGTGTTCTGGTTACTGAAGGAATCCCGGATCTTTACAACTTCAGCTGCACACAAATGTCCAAAAGATTTTGTGTACCACTCTGGCATGTGGCCCCTATCAGAGAAAAGAAAGAAAAGCAGATGAATCATTTAAGTTAGAAAGCACAGAAATAAAATGAGAAACGTCTGTTTGCTAGTTCAAATGCATAAAATCTATCAGTTCCTGTGGCTTTGAATTCATGGCCGAGCTACCATATTTGCTTTGCTTTAGAACTACATTTTCTAAGGGATCCAAATTAGGAAGTGGTCGCTGGAAGACCAACAAACATGAAATGCTACTGTATAAACACCACTCTTCATGAAGTCACCAGGAAACAATGATGTGTTCATTTAAGGCACTCTTTCCATTAGACAAAAAGTCTGAATTTCCTTCATGACCCTCACCATATAAAAAAAATCAGAATCAGAACATACCTTAAGTCAGCTCTGCACATGTAGGTGAGTTTGGATTTTCCTGGCCCACAGGGTTCAATCAAATACCTGGACAAGAGTACATTAACCCTCACACCCACCACAGGAGCCCGATCGTGATCCACGGAGGTCAGTAAAAGGGCACAGGCTCCTTTGGGTAAATTAGTCCTCCAGGTTCTGTAGAGACAAAACCAGAGGCGGAAATGATGCAATTTCATAGAAGCCAAGTTTAAAATCATACTCCACTCTTCGCTATTTGCAGTGGGGTGACGGGTCAGGCTCAGTGGCCATGCTGTATGACCCAGGCCTAGATAAATGGCATCCTCTAAGCTACTTGCTATGGTGTACATGTGTTCCCCAAAAAGCATGTGCTGGAAACTGAATCCCCAATACAACAGTGTTGGGAGGTGGGGCCTAATGGGAGCTGGATTAATGCCAATTATAAGAGTTTGAGGCTAGGTTCCGTGGCTCACGCCTTTAATCCCAGCACTTTGGGAAGCTGGGGAGGGAGGATTGCTTGAGATCAGGAGTTCAAGACCAGCCTGGGCAACATATTGAGACCTCATCTCTACTAAAAATAAAAAATATTAGCCGGGCATGGTGGTGTGCCCCTGTAATCCCAGCTACTTGGGGGTCTGAGGTGGTAGGATTGCTTAAGCTGTAATTATGCCACTGTACTCAAACTTGGGCAACAAAGTGAGACCCTCTATCTCAAAATAAATAAATACATAAATAAAAATGGCTTAAAGCTGCACATTTTCTCTTTTGCTCTCCCTTGCCCTCTCTTTGCCCTTCCACTATGGGAGGACACAGTAAGAAGACCCTCACTAGGCTGGGCATAGTGGTTCATGCCTGAAATCCTGGCACTTTGGGAGGTTGAGGTAGGAGGATCGCTTGAGCCCAGGAGTTTGAGACCAGCCTGGATAATATGGTGAAACCATGTCACCACCAGAAACCATCAACAAGTTAGCCAGGCATGGTGGCACATGCCTGTAGTCCCAACTACTTGGGAGGCTGAGGGGGGAGGATTGCTTGAGCCTGGGAGGTGAAGGCTTCAGTGACCCATGAGCTTGCCACTGCACCCTAGCATGGGTGACAGAATGAAACCATGTCCCCAAATCAAACAAACAAACAACCGGATGCAACTCCTTGATCTTGGACTTCCCAGCCTTTAGAACCAAGAACCAAATAAATATCTGTTCATTATAAATTGCCCGGTCTGTGACATTCTGTTAGAGCAGTATTATATGCACGAAGACACTATACAAGGACTCCCGAATGAGGAACTCTGTACAGAGTCGTTGTTACAGAGGGTTTATGTGCTCAGACAGTCTCCTCTTTGAAAAAAGAGGCAATTTGAAGTGTAGCTTAAAAACCATTTTTTCTATTTCACAAATGTCTTGGAACACAGATACCTAAAGGAGCACTGGCTGTTTGAAAAGGTCTGGACTTCCAACATGACATTTCCTCAAAGATTTTTGGAATTCTTCTTTCAGTAATATCTCAAGAGAATTTATGAATTACACATAAATCAGCCTTAACCACATCTCCCTTGGGACTCAAATGTTATTTCCTGGCTTATTCATTCACTAGCTGTTTCTGACAAGAAAATCTATCCTAAAAGGGGCAAAAATCTGCTACCAATGAGCATATTCATTGGAAGGCGCCTCTCTTTCCGAGCTCAGTTACCAAGGAGTTCAAGCCATTCTCAGTGAGGAACACATTGCTAGAATAAACGCAGATCTGTTTTCCATATTTGAAGGTGTTCACTACTTTTCTGGAGGCATATGTTTTGTTCTGTTTATTTAGAAACAAAGTCTTGCTCTGTTGCCCAGGCTGCAGTACAGTGGCATACTCACAGCTCACTGCAGCCTCAAATTCCTGGCTCAAGAGATCCTCCTGCCTCAGCCTCCCGAGTAGCTAAGACTACAGGCATGCACCACAACATCTAGCTAATTTTTAAAAATTTTTTGCGGAGATAGGGTCTTGCTATATTGCCTGGGCTGGTCTTGAACTCCTGGCTTCAAGTGATCCTCCTGTCTTGGCCTCCCAAAGTGCTGGGATTACAGCTGTGAGCCATCATATGCCTGGCCTCTACTTTAAATAATTATACCATCTTGTAAGATCAGTAACATATAGGCTTGGTTCATATATGGAGTCATCCTTGTCACAAAAAAACAATTTGGAAGTGCTCACCTTAAAACAACGTAGTCTCGAGCAGGATGAGGTGCCATACTGTTTTGGACATACTGGTAAATTTCAGTTTGGCTGTCCAGAATTTCAATCACTTTTGAATCCAACAGGTCTACATCCCAGAGGTGCTGTTCTTTAAGTAGGCGCTTTAAGATTTCCTCTGGCACAGCAGGGACTTCAATGGTTGACCTCCAAAGCCTCAGAGGGGGTCCTTCGCTCACCTGGAAAGAGGATATATTTTTCAGTGCCACGGCAATCCGTACACACCTAGTTTTTAAAGTCAAATTGTTAGTTAGACTAACAATTTTAGTCACATATAATCAATGTTAATTGATTATATAAATCATATAAACAATATAATCAATATACAAATATTGGGGGGCTAAAAAATCTATGACTTAAATAGGCCGCTATCCCTAGGCTTTAAGAGCAAGCCAGAAAGTGAACAAAAGCTGTTGTCAACTCTGGTCAAAATTATGACATTTGGGCTGGGTGCTGTGGCTTATTTCTATAATCCCAGCACTTTGGGAGGCTGAGGCAGGTGGATCATCTGGGGTCAGGAGTTCAAGACCGGCCTGGCCAACATGGTGTAACCCTGTCTCTACTATAAATACAAAAATTAGCCAGGCGTGGTGGCAGGCACCTGTAAGTGCAAGTACTCGGGAGGCTGAGAAAAGAGAATCACTTGAACCTAGGGGGCGGATTTTGCAGTGAGCCGAGATCACACCACTGCACTCCAGCCTGGGTGATAAGAATGAAACTCCATTTCAAAACAAAACAAAACAAAACAAATTATGACATTTGTTTTGTTTTTCTGGGACCTGTATCAGGGTGCATGCAATAAAGAAATATCAGTCACTGGCCGGGTGTGGTGGTTCACGCCTATAATCCCAGCACTTTGGGAGGCGAAGATGGGCAGATCACAAGGTCAGGAGTTCGAGACCAGCCTGGCCAATATGGTGAAACCCCATCTTTTCTACTAAAAATACAAAAATTAGCCAGGCATGGTGGCGGGTACCTGCAGTCCCAGCTACTTGGGAGGCTGAGGCAGGAGAATCGCTTGAACCCGGGAGGCAGAGGTTGCAGTGAGCTGGTATGGTGCCACTGCACTCCAGCTTGGGCGACAGAGCAAGACTCCATCTCAAAAAAAATAAATAAATAAAAAATAAAAAATCAATCATTTGCACTCATTTCCAAAGCCTGCAAGGCCACCCAGCCTACTCCCATTGTTTATGTATTTTCAAGATGGTAGAGGCAGCATCAACATATACCTCCGATGGACCTATCCTGCCGAGCCTTACAAGATGCCTCTGCCCTCAAGAGGTTTACTAGTCCTAACTGGAATTAATTTCCTCCTAAGGATCCCTGCTCATTAAAGGGCCAAGAGAACAGTAAGAACAGAGAAGAGTGCAAAGGGTTTCTGACCAAATTATGGAAAAAATCGAAGCGTGTCATAGGATGTTCCACAGCTCAATGCCATTAGCAAAACATTCTAGGCAAGTCTAGCGTGATTCTGTAGAGCCAAAGGACTTCATTAGAAATAGTTGAAATCCTCTCCCAAGTGTTACACGGGATGAAAATTACTCTTCCTTTGCCCGGTTTCCACTCTCACCAGGGGGATCTGACTCACCTGGGTGCCCAGCTCTACAAGAGAGGGTGTGGGCTACAGATCCCCAGAGAGATTAGTTGGCAAAAGCATGTTATCTCTGATGGACCCAAGCCTCGACGCCTGGACTCAAATAGCCAACAACGGGGTGAAGCCTTACCTTCTTATAGGACAGCTCAGCCTGCTCCGAAGTGGAGTAGCTGACCCAGCCTTTAAACTTCTCTTTGACTTCTTTAAACAGGCCATCCACACAGTCCTGGAGGAAGTGTTGGTAGTCAGCTGAGTCATCATTTCCCAGGTGCCCGAGCGCCTCCAGAGTGAGGGGCTTCAGCTCTTGTTCAGTATAGGAATTACGACATCGGCTCATTTCCTCGGGAACCTGTGCGGAACATGACAGACAGAAAGGAGGTGAGTCCACCTGTACTCAATCTCAACGCCCATCAGCGGAAAAGGCTGGGCAGGAACAGTGGCCTGGTCCTTAAAGCAGCGCAGGCATCTTTCCGCCAGAGGTGGGCTATAATGCTGACCTCACGTGGTACCATGAGGATATGAACAGATCACCTCCATAGATGTATCTGAAATCTTATTCCCATGTAAGGTCTTCTTTGGAAAGTTAGAGTAGGGAGAGTGAATTACATTGATCAAAGCAGGTTTCTCAGATACAGAAGTGGATACAGAAGTTTAATTCCAGATAATTTGTTGCTTTTTTTTTCTTTTCCTTTTTCTTTCTTTTTTTTTTTTTTTTTTGAGGCAGAGTCTCATTCTGTTACCCAGCCTGGAGTGCAATGGCAGAATCTTGGCTCATTGCAACCTCCACCTCCCTGGGCTCAGGTGATCCTCCCATCTCAGCCTCCCAAGTAGCTGAGACTACAGGTGCACACCACCATGCCCAGGTGATTTTTATATTTTTTTTTGTAGAGATGAGGTCTCATCATGGTGCCTAGGTTGGTCTTGAACTCCCGAGTTCACGTGATCCACCAGCCTCAGTCTCCCAAAGTGTTAGAATTACAGGCGTGAGCCACAACGCCTGGCTGTTTTTCCTTTCTAACTAAAGGGACAATTTCATTAAGCATGATTAACTCTAGCTGACACATTATAATATATGTAAATAAGACATTCTCGGCTATTTATACCATCTCCAGCCGTGGAAAAGGTCTTCAGGTAAGACATGAACAAATATCAAGCCTAAGACTTCGTACCTATTCACATTATCCTTAATAAAGGAGCCAACCTTCTCAATTCCTTACCTGGAAAAGCTTCTTGCACTCGGCGATCATATGGGCCAGCCCTTGAGTGGCAGCTAGGTTTTCATTCAAATCTTTCTGATCTGGTTTGCCCAAACTTTGTTTTCTTTGCATTACCCTAGATAGAAGAAATACAGAAGGGGAACAGTTCAAATATTTATGTATTTTTCATCCAGGTATTATTCCAGGAAACCCGAAGAAAAGAGAAAAAAAATGTTTTCACTGGAACCTGTTTATTGTTCAATTCATTGAGAGTGTTTTTACTTTGCTCACCAGAGTATCTCAGAGTTTTGTCAACAACACACAAAAAACATTAAAGAGATATGCTTTTGATGAAATTAAGGTGATTAAAACCATTTTATTAAATACATTCCTATTGGGAACAGGGCAGCTTGTAAGGGCAGTGTTTGCATGGTAGGGGAGCAGCTTCTGAGAAGTGTGGGAAAGGAGTCCCTGGGAGTTGGAGTAAACGGTGTCACCGTCTTTACCTGCCTGAATACACAGGCCCCCTTCCACAGGTGAGGGCTAAGTCCATTGTCTCCTTGAGCTTTTGTCTTCATCTTATTTGATCTCTCTCCTCTACTCATCTCTAGTTCTGTATCCCATTGCAGTTGGATTGCCCCGGTCAACTTTAAGAACTATTTAAATGTGGCCAGGCACGGTGGCTCATACCGTAATCCCAGCACTTTGGGAGGCTGAGGCAGGTGGATCATGAAGTCAGGAGCTCAAGGCCAGCCTGGCCAACATGGTGAAACCCCGTCTCTATTAAAAATACAAAAATTAGCCAGGCATGGTAGCGCATGCCTGTAGTGCCGGCTACTCGGGAGGCTGAGGCAGGAGAATGGCTTGAACTTGGGAAGCAGAGGTTGCAGTGAGCTGAGATTGCGCCACTGCACTCCAGCCTGGGCGACAGAGCAAGACTCCATCTCAGAAAGAACTATTTAAACATACATTTAAACACTGTACGACCTTCAAAAGCAACCTAACCTTCACTAGCATAACTAGGCCCCAGGCCTCTAGCTAAGAAATACTTTTCAAGTTCCTTTACAGCTGAGGAAAAGGATCAGTTGGATGGATTTAGTCTGTGGGGGTTAAGTCCCGTGAGACTGTTTTCTCATGGACACCAATAGACCAGTCTCAGGCATGTCTTTATTAGCAGTGTGAGAATGGACTAATACAGCAGTCTAACTTTCTTCCTTGTTTCGGGAAAGACTCCCAGAAAACCACAAATACAGAGAGTCCTAGAAGAATGCAGGCTGCCCCCTCTGTGTACGCACCTCCCATGCAGCCCATACCTGGGAGAGGAATTCTCTCTCTTCAGGGTGTTGAGATGGAAGAGGGAAGGCGCTAAGCACACGGCCAGGTTGGTTGGGGTCATCTGGTTTTCTTTTACGGCTGCTGTGACATCGCTCAAGAAATAAAGCAGGGTCTGCAGAACCTCCCGGTTCTCATCAGGCAGCAGCATGATGGCAGCCTTGATGGCCTGCAGGCGCTGGTCCTTGGGCACATCTGCACGACACCAGCACTTTACCCATCAGCTTGGTGAATTTGCACGGATATTGCAAGGAAATATCCCAAAGCAAATATCGGCATCAAATACCTCAGCCCAGTACTGAACAAGCACTTGTAGAAACTGTACTAGAGATTAATACGGTAAAAGTTATGAATTGCCACTGGCATCACTACCCTCAAGTATTTCCTGCCTCGTGAAGGAGTGAAAAAAATTTTAAACACCCACGATACCCAAACACTCTTAAATCCACCTCAGATTTCGGCTCTAGAGGATGCCTGTTCTTTCAGTTTACAGAACAGTTTTTTCTTAACGAAGCATGAGAAAAAAAAAATCCCTAATTTACCAATCTCAATTACTGAAAACACTATACACTTTTGTTTAGTGTCGACAAAAAATCTTATCTGAAATATGTACAAGAACGTAAGAACGGAGATCTCTCAGCTTTGAGTACAAAATACTCAGTATCTCTGGAGATTTTCATGAGTTTAACTGATTTGTTCATTCTTGAAACGGGAAAAGCAAGCTGCTAAAATATTCAGTTCTGAACTGAATTGAACTGAAAATATTCAGTCTAATTAATACATAGAATACATTGAATTAGTAATATCTTAAGTTTTTAGAAAGCATGCTTGAGAGGCTGTTATAAAAATGCACATGAATATGCAAATACATAAAAATGCAAATAAACCCATAAACAATCTACATGTAGAAAATGCTGATCCCAATCTTCAGGTCTTCTTGAATAGACAACTCTTTAAAAGAGCGTGTGGTGGAAAAATCAAGTCACTCAAATGTAGCTCCATAGGACAAACTGATTAAACAGCTCCATGGTTACAACACATAACAAATACCTTGGCAAGGAAAATGTGACCTGTGTTTTTATAAAATATGAAAGGATGAAACAACTAATGAAATAATCCAGACCAGCTCCATTTCTCATAAAATAAAGTCCACTGTGCCAGTCCCAGAGACAATTTGAGCGCTAAGAGAGGCTGCTTTTAAATTACATTGCTGTAATACCACACTGAGCCAAGAAAAACACAAGGCTGTAAAAGCCATAATCCTGATCGTGATCATTAATTTAGACAACTGTTTTCTTTAAGCTTTACATAAAAGTAAGAAGGGCATGGGTATTGTTTTCCCAAGTATTTCTGGCAGAAACTGAGATGAATAACAGAAAAAGATTATGTATTCATTCTACAGCAAGATAAAACACACAGACACCTGTGAAATTTTAAATCCAACAGCCCAGCAAGAGGGAGGTGAAGTAACTGAAATTTCTGTAGACAAGGTGGAGAGAGAAAGAGATCTTGGTACCTGATCTTTATCTGAGTGCTCAGATCACACTGTTCTAGAAACTAATGAAAGCCTAACTTGGATCTGCTGGTAAAACCGTACAATTGCATCAGTCATTAGAGACTGGGAAATTTATTTTTGCATCATTCAGTAACTATACAGAAACCTGTTCCACAAACAAGGAGGCAAGGAAGAAAGTGATGACATGGGTTTCCAAGAGGTCACCATGCAGACCTTCTCGCCAAAAGAACGCTATCAAGGCCAGGCGCGGTGGCTCACACCTGTAATCCTAGCACTTTGGGAGGCCGAGGTGGGAGGATCACTTGAGGTCAGGAATTTGAGACCTTCCTGGCCCACATGGTGAAACCCCGTCTCTACTAAAAATACAAAAATTAGCCAGATGTGGTGGCGCCCTCCTGTAGTCCCAGCTACTTGGGAGGCTGAGGTGGGAGAATTGCTTGAACCTGGGAGGCAGAGGTTGCAGTGAGCCGAGGTCACGCCACTGCACTCCAGTCTGGGTGACAGAGCGAGACTCCATCTCAAAAAAAAAAAGAATGCTACCAAGGAAGCTACAAGCTTCAGTGGGTCCTATTTTTCCCCGACACCAACAATCTTAAGATCAAAGGACACTCACATTGGTAGATCTGTAGAAAGGTTTCCGAGAGTTTGTTCGTCATTAGTGGCTCAGGAAGATCTCGAAAATACTGCTTCAGCATGTCTGCCACGTCATAAGCAGACTGTCCTTCGTAGTTGACACAGTCTATGGCACCTTCATTCATCTGGCGCAGAGCCTGAATCCGGGACTTGACGCCCGATTTTCTGAAGAGCCCAACCTGTCGGAAGAGCAACACTAAGTGTGGCGTACATTCACATGGACGCAGTGTTCACACCACACAACTAGAAGAAGCTGCACATAATCCGAGTTCCACTGAGTGTGCGGACCCACAGGCAGCACTCTCACCTGATCCAAACAATGGTTCCGGAGGTATCGCATGGCCTGCTGGATGCTCTGAGGCAACGGCTGTCCTGTGCGCTGCACGTTGACTGTCAGTGGGACCCCGAACACACTCCGGTCCTTGTAGTCTGGAACCTTGATCCTCTTCATGAACTTGGGCACGGCCCTGTTAAAGAACACAGAGATGGTGGTGTCGGGGGAGACATGGTCGCTTGTCTGTCTACACTTGTCCACTTCTGCAGGTAAACCCTGTGGGCTCCAGATCTGTGCTAATACGGTGGCTACTTAAATTTAAATTAAACAAAATGACAAGTTCAGTTCCCCAGTGGCTCTGGCCACACTTCAGGTGCTCCTTCGCCTTTTGTGCTCAGTACCTACTGTATTGGCTTGTGCAGATAAAGAACGTTCCTATCATCCAGACAGTTCTCCTGGACAGTGCTGTTCTAGATCTTCTAAGAGCTGGGATTGTGAGGTTCAGGCTCATTTCCTCAGTTGGGAGTGTCCTTCCACCTTGAACCTGGAGAATTGGGGTCTACAGTCTTAAGGAAGCTGATGGATTTCCTCATAGAAGGGCGGTATAGGAAGGAACAAGCAGAAAACAACGTATAATATCCTAATGAGGTGCTTCTGATAACAGTGTGAAAAACAAGGTCTCTTTTGCCTTGACAAAAGGATAAGAATCGCTTCTGAGTTCTTGATGAGATCCAAAGCATTTAGGGTCAAAAGATGCACGTAATACAGGATGGGAAAACAGCAATGAGAGCCTAACACAATGACAGCCAACTCCAGAGCTCAACAGTGAATGACCTGAAGTCAAAATAAATTCTCCTGCTGATGACCCCGCAGAACATTACATTTGTAGGTTTCTAAAGGAAGATGGAAAAGGAACAATGGGGGTTTTGTGAGCCAACCCCAGGCTCCCTGGTGTCCTGAAACCAGGTCCACCCCAGCAGTATACGCAACAGCAGGAAACCCATGTCATGCATTTCAGGCTGTCAAGCAGAAATTCCAGCTCTCCAAATGACCTCTCTGAACAGGACCCGAAAGGGCAAGGCCAAACAGGAAAAGAACCTTGCGTAGGATTCCTCCCTGCTCCAAAGAGCCCACCATGTGAGGCTTTTACAGTTAGTTTTGAGTCACTGGAAACGCTGACCAGAACTCAAGAAGTATTATGGACTTTCAGATTCTTGAGGGTTTGGTGGGATGGGGGTGGGCAACTCAGAAATGAGAATCTAAAATATGCAGTTTTAAATAGCCAGCAGGGAAAATATTACTCTAAGCACAGAGGAACTCCAGAGAAGACAGACCGCTTTGCTTTTTGAATGTTCACCAGCGGCCATGGCATGTTACTGTTTATAGCTCCAGGAAAGGTAAAACGAAAGAGCAGAGTTAAGTTTGTATTTCCATACAGTTAAGTATATGGTATCACGGCTATAAGTGTGCATAATGCTCGCTTTGTCGGGGGAGAAAAGCCCGACGGCGGAATGTGAAAAGAACACATTACGATCCCCACCGAGAATCTGAAGCATGTGAGGATAAACCGGTCAATACTTATTTCTGTCATTCAGAACAAACAACTTCTGTATTTAGCAAGGCTCACATAATAACAGCCTTTGAACAGGAGGTGCTTTGATGCTGAAGTTAAACCCACTATGAGTCCTAAGGAGAGGAGGAGCTGAAGACAGAACAGTTTCCTTACTTTGCCGACTTTCTCAAGTAACTTGGGTTTGCTACAGTGTGCTACTAATAAAATGGGTGGCTTCTCCATTTTTATCAAATACAGTAGTTGTGCAACTGGATAATAAACCCTCAGATTACTGAAAAGACTTAAGGATTCCCAGCCAACACTGAAAAATGCACCAAGATGTCAATCTAGAAACATTTCTCTGCTTTGCACTGATAGCAAAAAATTAAGATGTACCCAGATTAGGTAATATCCATGACCCATCTAGCCTTACAGTCTACCCCTCACATTCTATATACTAAGGAGCTATATTTTTCAAAGTAATTATCAACAATTTGTACAATGCATTTCATCTCTACATTTGAGTCTATAATAATATGTTAGAGCAGTGAATTCCTTAAAATAATTATTCACTGTTCGAGAGTCTTTGCTAGAAAAAAAGTAACCTGAATTATTTAGCACAGGTAGACTTTTTAATGATGCTACAAATATTTGCATTGCATCCAAAATGATTCTTTTTTTTCTTTTTCCTTTTTTTGAGACAGAGTCTTACTCTGTCGCCCAGGATGGAGTGCAGTAGCCTTATCTCAGGGCTCACTGCAACCTCCACCTCCTGAGTTCAAGGGATTCCCATGCCTCAGCTTCCTGGGTAGATGGGATTACAGGTGCGCGCCACCACGCCCAGCTAATTTTTGTATTTTTAGTAGAGATGGGGTTTCTCCATGTTGGCCAGGTTGGTCTCAAACTCCTGGCCTCATGTGATCCACCTGCCTCAGAATCCCAAAATGCTGGTATTATAGGCATGAGCCACCACACCCGGCCCAAACTGATTTCTACAAAAAGGCATGAATAGGATTATAAGACCAGGTACTGTACATCAAGAATTTCAAAGATGGTCTCATTAAATCTTAATGTTTTTTTTTTCTTCTGACCAAAAATATGATCTGATACTGTGCATATATTTACTTATAGTGGATTATTCCTACTATTGGGAAGGAGGTGCCTATACCAGGTGATGCAAGAATAATGCATTCTCTCCCCCATCAACTGGCAATCTGTGACTCAGAGAGCTGAAAACTCAATCAACCAACCCACGCTGATAATTTCCTAAGACTCCACTGGCTTCAACAATATCAAATGTGGCCTCAAGAATGTATAGAGTGGCTGGCATGGTGGCTCACACCTGTAATTCCAGCAACTTGGGAGGCCGAGGCAGGTGGATCTCTTGAGCCCAGGAATTCGAGACCAGCCTAGTTAACATGGTGAAACCGCATCTCTACAAAACGGAAGAAACAAAACAAAACAAAACAACAACAAAAAAACTAGCCAGGTGTGGTGGAGAGAGACTGTAGTACCACCTACTCGGGAGTCCAGCCACTCTGGAGCCTGAGGTGGAAGAATTGCTTGAGCCCAGGAGGTCAAGGCGGCAGTGAGCCAAGCCTGTACCACTGCACTGCACTCCAGCCTAGGTGACAGAACAAGACCCTGTCTCAAAAAACAAAACAAAACAAAACAAAACAAAATGCAGAGAGAGTGATTAGTGTCATAGTTTTACTGTGGGGACAACCTCGAGGAGCTGACCAAAAATATTTTTCTTTTTTTTTTTTGAGACAGAGTCTTGCTCTGTTGCCCAGGCTGGAGTGCAGTGGCGCCATCTCGGCTCACTGCAAGCTCTGCCTCCCGGGTTCACGCCATTCTCCTGCCTCAGCCTCCCGAGTAGTTAAGCCTACAGGCACCCGCCACCACGCCCGGCTGAGTTTTTGTATTTTTAGTAGAGACGGGGTTTCACCGTATTAGCCAGGATGGTCTCAGTATCCTGACCTCGTGATCCGCCTGCCTCAGGCTCCCAAAGTGCTGGGATTACAGGCGTGAGCCACCGCACCTGGCCCCAAAAATATCTTTCAAGGACAGTTGACTGATTGTTTAAACTCTTACCAGCTAAAACCATGTTTGTTAGAAGGTGTGTATTTCTCCAGCAGGGCTGTTAGCTTTAGGAGTGAGTATTTCTGCAGCAGGTTCATCTGGGCCACAGATTGGTAGTTAATCTGTACTGATACAGAGTTGAGGCTTGGCCGATGTGAGCTCTGGAAACTGTGCCATCTCTGTCTGTGCCTGCTAGAGAAATGGAGAGAAAAGTGAGTGTGAAGGCTTTTTATTTGATTTTATTTATTTGATTTTTTTCTTGCTCTGTTGCCCAGGCGGTGGTGCCATCATAGCTCACTGCAGCCTTGAACTCCTAGGCTCAAGTGATCCTCCTGCCTCAGCCTCCTGAGTAGCCAGGACTGCAGGCCTGTGCCACCATGTTTGGCTTATTTTTAAATTTTTTGTAGAGACGGAGTCTACCTATGTTGTCCAGCCTAGTCTCAAACTCTTGGCCTCAAGTGATCCTCCCACCTCGGCCTCCCAAAGTATTGGATTACAGTGAGCCACTGTGCCTGGCCCAAAGGCTTTTTAATAGGTAGAAGCAACATTAACAATGGGCTGCTTGCTGGCATCTTATCTTAGGAACTGAGAGGACTTGATTTCTATTCCATGCTTTAATCCCCGTTATGGGAAAATATACACAATATAAAGTGTACCGTTTTCACCATTTTTAAGTGTGCAGTTGAGTGGCACCAAGTTCATTCTCATTGTGTGACCATCTCTATCAACCATCTCCAGAACTTTTTTCATCTTCCCCATCCGGAACTCCATACCCATTCAATCACATCCATTTTTTGAATTTTGGTGCTTCCTGGTCTGACACCTTCCTTAGGAATGGACATGGCTAAGAATGCCAGACTTAATCCCATTTTCTCCCACAGAACAAACACAGGCAATCTCTTTCTGACCCTCATGCCTCACACCTGGAGGGAGGAGAAAAACTGTTACCTGTTGGACCTGGTTAGGGAAGCCCCAACCCCAGAATCCCTCCTTTCCGGGATGTCAGAGGGCTCTTCCGGTTCATTCAGGGAGTTGCCTGTGCTGTCCAGGTCGCTGGGTGTGGTTCGGTCGTTGTCCACATCCAGGTGTATCTGTTTTGGAGAGGATGGGCAGGGAGAGACCGAGTCCAGGGCTGAGTCCGAGTCTCCCTCATCAGAAAACTTCTCCGACCACTGATTGACTATCCGCTGCATCCCCTTCACGTGGTAGAGGATGTCGTCCAGCTCGGGGAAGATGTCCTCGTTCTCCAGATCTGCCAGGTCCCCTGAACTGGAGTAGAGGATGGAGCCCGGCACGTTGTCATAGATGCTCAGGCGGCTGCTCATGGAGCTGGAAGAATTGCGCCTCTTCAGTTCCTTGGGGTTGTCGCTGCTGTTTTCCCTCCTAAGGCTGATGTGGCCAGGGCCGTGGAAGCTTCCTGTCCTCCAGTTCACAGAGCTGTTATTCCCCGAGGGGGAGAAACTGCCATTGGTGAGAGCTTTGGGGAAAGTGCCAGGCTTGTGGTCTTCAGGGATGTAGAACACCGTGTCCTCTGGGTAGCTCTCGCGGTTCTTAAAGTTCTGTTCCATCACGTTGTTAAATGTTGACTGATTGAAAGGATCGAAGCCCTCTAGGTACATGCCCACCCGCTTATTGCAGGCACTGAGGCTCCGGGTCCTGGTAACAGGGCTGGGCGTGCTGACCGCGCTGCTGGTCTCCGACTGGCTGCTGCTGCTGCTGGTCTGCGTGGAGTTGGAAACGCTCCTCTTTCGTACCATGGGGACGTTGATGCGGTTGCCGTTGAGGGCGGAGATCTCCACGCAGTTGAGCTGCTTCAGCTTCTCCTCATCCACCCCCTCTTGCAGGATGGGCCCGCTGATGATCAACCCGAGCTTTGAAGGCGCTTTGTGCTTGCTGTGGTGGGAGCCCTTGAGCTTCAGGCTCTCCATCCGTTTCAGCAGACTGCGCGTCTTGGACTTGGCAGTTTTTTCGTGGCCTTTCATGCTGAAGCTGAAGCTGGACAGTTCCTTGGGAGACGGCAGGCTGCCGAAAGAGTCGTCATTGCCTGCCAAGTTGCTGGAGGAGCAAACGCTGATGACGGAGTTAGTCCGGGGGGTGGCAGCATCCTCGCTGGGGGGCGCATGGCTGGGGAGGCTGCCAGTGCTGCTGAGGCTGCGGACGGAAGACACCTCCTGGCGCTCGCCGCGGTCCATCAGCGTGCCTCCGGGGCTGGCGCCGTCCTGCGGGTGGGAGTCGTCTGGGGACCCAGGGACTGGGTCTTGTTTTGGAGAAAAGACATCAAACTCTTCAAGCCGGGACCATCTCTTGCTGTCCCTTTGGAAAGTCCATTTGCCACTGATGGCACAAGGCTCATCCTCGTCTGAATCGTCACTCTGCAAAGACAGAAAGGAGCCATTCACACACCGGGGCTGGCAGCCAGCAGGGAGCAGGGCATGAGCAGGAGGCTGCTCATAATATGCCAGTAGTGTCAATTCTCCCCTTGTACTTTATCATTTGAATTTTAAAGGTTTTTTTTTTTTTTTTTTTTAAGAAATAGGGTCTCACTCTGTAGTCCAGACTGGAGTGCAGTGGCATGATCACAGCTTACTGCAGCCTCAAATTCTAGGGCTCAAGTGATCCTCCCACTTCAGCCTCCCTAGTTGCTGGGATTACAGGCAAGTGCCAACATGCCCAGCTATTTTTATTTTTATTTTTTTGGTAGAGATGGGGTCTTGCTGTATTGCCCAGGTTGGTTCTGAACTGCTGACCTCCAGTGATCCTCCCACCTGTGCCTCCGAGAGTGCTGTGGTGACAGGGATGAGCTACTGTGCCCAGCCCCATTTACATATTCTTTTTCTTTTTTAAATTTTTTGTAGAGAGCAGGAGTCTTATTATGTTGGCCTAGGCTGGTCTCAAACTCCTGGCCTCAAGTGATCCTCCCACATGGGCCTCCCAAAGTGTTGGGATTACAGGCATGAGCCACAGTGCCCAGTGTTTTGTTTTGTTTTTTAAATAACAAAGATGTATTTAAAGAATTTAACAGAAGAGTACCTGACCAAACGCTGCAAATTTAAATAAGAACTATTTTATGGAAACTCTGGGATCTACAGGCTGTTCTTTAATTGCTCACAGAGGAAACCTCTGAGATGGTGAAAATTCCAGGCATGCAAAATATTCTGAACTGAAGATTTCAATGAGCAAGACTGCCTCTGGGCTGCCTTCCGTTGTGCTGTCTTTTGTTGGTGTATGTTTATATTCCCTCTTGCAATTAAAAAGGTAGTTTTCAAACACTAAGAAGAGTGGCAACTCAAATCTCTAGTCACTAAAAATTTATAAGGTCTCCCACTGGAATAAAGGGGCCCTGGATCAAGGTGGGTCATTACGCAGCTTCAGTCCACTAACAGGGCTTTGGAGACTCTTACCAGTACCTTTTCTTCCCCTCCCCCACAAGACATGAGGGCTAGTGCTCAGGCCACAGCTGACCTGTGAAGTTTCAACCTCAGTCATGCTCCAGCCAATTGAACAAGGCTTCACAAATACCCAGCCCTGACAGCTTGCGGTATTCATAAACACTAAGTAACATCTTTGCTGGTTATGTCCGATTTATGTACAGGACTCAGGGATATGCTGTCACACGGACTATTGCATCTGGGCCTTTTCGGCAGGATATCAAAGGGCACAATTCAGTATGATACATGTCTTTTCCACTGGTGTGGAAAATATCCCATGGCCCAAGTTTCACAGGACAATGAGTGGAAAGCATGGAGCGCTGGCTACTCGGGCTCTTCTGCACAGCTCAGTGCACGCTGAGGTTCCAGTTCATTTGTTTAAAAGCTTTGACTCCCCAAGAAGGCAACTTTTTGCAGCTCAGGGACTCTGGCATAATTCAAATTTGTACCCGGAAGTCAGAAATATGTTCTTTGACCAGACTCATTCCTGTTTACTCTAATTTGTGACACTTACTCCAGTACTACACCCACCTCTTCTTCTAAGATCTCACAAAAAGTCTTCACAACTCACACACAGAAGAAAATACCATCCAATTTGGTTCTGTACCACCATTTGACTAAACTGTGTGGGATTTCCTGCCTTCTCCTCTTCCTCCTCCAATTCCTTTCCTCCCTCCAAATCTCTTATTATTCTTCAATATTGCACAAATCGGCCTTCACTTTCACCTCTACAGCTTTGAAGCACAGTTATTGTTGTATTTGGGAAGACAGAAGAGTTGGAAATAAGCTTTATTTCCTCTATAACCAATGCAGAAATCCACTGAGACTCCTTAAGCATGATCCCTTTATTATGCAATAGACACTGAGTTAATAATTAGGCGAAATCATAGCTGATGTGATCAGGTCATAAATAATAGATAAAATAATGTAATGGGCTACTTGCAACTATCGACTTCAACTACACAAGGCTATCGAGTCTAGGTGATACCATTCAAGATGTAGATGCTTACGGAACAAGAAACTAAGACTTTGAGAAACAAAAGCTATTACAAAACACATCATTCACTTTTTTGTTTGCCCCTTTCCCTCTCATTCTATTATGCAATTTGTATACTCACTCGTTTCCGATGAGGACTAATTTCTAGCTTCATCACCGCACATTTGTTTAAAGTATTTAGACGCCTATAGAGCAAAGAAGTAACGTTAGCAAAGATAGGCAACCACTCTCTAATGAGTGGATAAACACCTGTTTTTAAACAATTCATATATCTAAGGAGTTTCTTGTAACTCAGTAATATCTAATACCTAGAGGAGTATTAGAAACTTCTTTAGAAAGTGAGTCATTTAAAAATACCTTGGCCAGGCGTGGTGGCTCACACCTGTAATCCCAGCACTTTGGGAGGCTGAGGTGCGCGGATCATGAGGTCAGGAGATTGAGACCATCCTGGCTAACACAGTGAAACCCTGTCTCTACTAAAAATACAAAAAAAACAAGCCGGGTGTGGTGGTGGGCACCTGTAGTCCCAGCTACTCGGGAGGCTGAGGCAGGAGAATGGCGTGAACCCAGGAGGCGGAGCATTCAGTGAGCAGAGATTGCGCCACTGCACTCCAGCCTGGGCGACAGAGTGAGACTCCATCTCAAAATAAATAAATAAATAAAAATAAAAATACCTTTATGTTTCTTAAGTTTTTCACTTTAATTTTTATATTTTAGTGTGAAATGGCACGCAGCTATGATACTGTCAAGTCTGATTCTTTAACTCTCAATGAGTTGCTCTTACTGAGAAAAATCATTCTTCCGGTAACTCTTAGGTTGAGCCATTATGGACTGCCACATGTGGTGTCAAGAAAGAAAAGTTTCTGACTGGGCACAGTGGCTCACGCCTGTAATCCCAGAACTTTGGGAGGCTGAGGCAGGCAGATCACCTGAAGTCAGGAGTTTGAGACCAGCCTGTCCAACATGGTGAAACCCCATCTCTACTAAAAATACAAAAATTAGCTGGGCATGGTGGTGGGTGCCTCTGATGCCAGCTACTTGGGAGGCTGTGGCAGGGAGAATGGCTTGAACCTGGGAGGTGGAGGCTGTAGTGAGCCGAGATTGTGCCACTGCACTCCAGCCTGGGCAATAAAGCCAGACTCCATTTCAAAAACAAAAACAAAAAAAAAAAAAGAAAGAAAGAAAGAAAAGAAAAGTTTGTGAGGTCTCCTTTCACAGAAATAGAAACAGCAAAACAGCAACAAAGAACCAAGTAGAGTTTTTGGCAAAATGAACAGTGTCTTGTATTTCAAATTTAAACTCAAATTTAAACAATTAGTTTTAGTTATCTCTGATGAATCAAAATCTTGGACAGCCTGTTTAAAATTTTTGAGTCCTTGCACAGAATGGAAATTGAAGCCCCCTTTAATATCCAATATTTAGAACAGCTTCCTGTTATAGGACAATATAATGTGTGCCATAGTCATGCCAATAGGACACATGATCATTTAAAGAATCTGCATACTGTAACTTCAAGGATCCAAATCTTACTGAGTTCAAAATTAAGCACTCAGGTCACATTCTTCTTTGCAACAGCCATCCTCTTGTCACTATGATACCAATACTTTGACCTCTGCCAAACAGCAATATCAATTTAAAATTAGGGAAATTTAGTTCCATTGAAAATAAAACACTTACAAAAAAAATCCAAAGCCTCATGGAGAAATAATGCAATAGTTGAAAAAAGAAACTCTTTAAATATGCTGAACTAAATGGTATGTACAAGTATGAATGACAACCCTTCAGGCCCCAATTTTCCTGCCATCTCCCAGATGGTCATCACTCATCCTTCCTGAAATGAACCTGTAATGTGTCTGTTTGCTATCTGCTATCACCAGTTTTCCAGTTTTTCCTACAAATTGCAATCCTTACATTTTCATAAGATAAGATCATTTAATTCACACAAATTCCTGGGAAACGTGAGACCACCTCAGGGCTTTATCTTCCTGATCCTGTTCTTGCAGTTTGCCTAACAATGTTGATGCAACAGAATAGAAAGTATTTTTCCCTGCCTGATAAGCCCAATTTTGACTTCATAGCTTATGTGGTAGCCTGTTTATAGAATAAACAAAGATAGCTCAGAGTGCCTATGTTCAGAAGAATTCTGTGTTGATGGGGAGGAAAAGAAAACAAATAACTAAGAAAAAGTCTGCATACTTTAAAATGAGTGGATATAAGGTCCCTCTATTGGGGGTATCAATTACTTAAATAACTTACACCCACCATGTTTTAGTTCTCAAATGTTTTCAAGGTTTAAAGAATCCGGAATGGTTACAGTTAGTCTTAGGTCTGGGTTCCATTAATCAAACCTGTAATCAAATAGTCACTTGACTTCATTTGGGCTTTAATGGTTGAATGGTGTTTATAACCGAATTTACTAGTCACAGAGGCCTATGGGGTTGGGGAGAGGTTTAGCTTCACAAACTCTAGATTTTAGTCGAACGAAAAAGACCCAGGAGGCCAGTTCTCTAAAGGTCAACATTATCTTTTTATGTTGGTAGCACCAATCTAATGGCATTAGAGACCTAAAGCCCAGAGTTATACCCTAGGGTTTCTGTGGTTTTCATTGGTCCCGGAGGACTCCCAAAGAATGTACTGTGCTGGGACCTTATTTGCTTACAGGGACAGTACTGGTATCAAATCATAGTTCCAGCTACACAAACGAGGCCTACTACGGGCCAGGCACTATGCTAGGCACTTCCTATGTATTACTTCATCTTCCCAACAAACCTATGGTACAGATATTATGATTAATCTTCACTTTACAAATGAGGAAATGGGGCTTGGGGAGGTCACAGATCTTGTCTAAGTCCACACGATTAAAACATGGTGACTCTCAAACCCAGTAACTTCTGTGTTCCTTTCTTTTTCTTTCTTTCTTTCTTTTTTTTTTTTTTTTGAGACAGAGTCTTGCTCTATTGCCTAGGCTGGAGTGCAGTGGCGTGATCTTGGCTCATTGCAACCTCTGCCTGCCAGGTTCAAGCAATTCTCATGCCTCAGCCTCCCGAGCAGCTGGGACTACAGGTGCCCACCACCACGCCCAGCTAATTTTTGTATTTTTAGTAGAAGTGAGGGTTTGCCATGTTGCCCGGCTGGTCTCGATCTCCTGAGCTCGGGCAATGCACTCACCTTGGCCTCCCAAAGTGCTAGGATGACAGGCATGAGGCACCGCGCCCGGCCATCTGTGTTCCTTTCTAACATCAATATTAATGGTAGTAATAAATGAAAGCAACTTATATCCTAGGGGATTCCTCACACAGTGGCTGAAATGCTGGTTTCATAACCCATCTGTCTGGAAGCCTGGGCCTTTCCCATCCCCCTAAGAACCCGCCCAGGCTAGGCTCCACAGGAATGTGTCCCTCTTATCTCCTGGGCAACTTGCACCCTGCTCTGAAGAGGGAGGAGCACAAGGCTGGCCTATCAAAGGTTCAAGAGCTTCTCTGCATGGAGCTGCAGGAACCCAGATAAAAGCACAGCAGGTGGGGACCTGGGCCCCATTATATTCAAAGTAAAAACAGGCCAAAAACAAAGAAGAGAAGAGGGAGAAGGGGGAAAGGAACAATTTTCCAAGTAAGACTCTCACAAAAATGGTTATAATTCTTAAAGATATTTTCTTGGAATCTGTGCAATTGCTTTAAAAAAAATTACATGCTACTCCCAGCCTTTCCTTTTCTTTCTTTCTTTCTTTCTTTTTTTTTTTTTTGAGACAGTCGCTCAGGTTGGAATGCAATGGTGCTATCATGGCTCACTGGAGCCTGGACCTCCTGGGCTCACAGGATCCTCCCACCTCAGCCTCCCAAGTAGCTGGGACTACAGGTATGCGCCATCATGCCTGCTTAATTTTTTTTATTTTTTTATAGAAATGGGGTCTTGCCGTGTTGCCCAGAATGGTCTCCAACTCCTGGAGGCTCAAGTGATCCTCCCATCTTGGCCTCCCAAATTGCTGGGATTACAAGCGTGAGCCACTGTGCCCAGCTACATGCTTCCCTTTTAACAGAGCAGAAACTGTGACAAAGTTAGAATCTGCTCTAAGGTGGGCTGCTGTGCATGGCTCAGGCAACTGACGGGCTGCTCTACCACAAAGTGCATACTGCAGATGACAGTGTGGAAATTTATTTTTCATTATACAACTGTCACTTTAAGTACACATAATTCTTTGCTGTGTTTATAGAATGAGTCAATTTTAATTCCTGAGGAAAATAGCCATTTGGAATAGTTTTCAGAAGCTTTAGAAAGGTAAGCAATAGAAAGAACATTTCACAAGAGGTATCCTGGTACTGAATCAAAGTTCACAATACTACCTGCACATGCTTCAAGACAAAGTCAATCACTCCTCCAGGATTACTATTGAGTATAGCTCTCATAATCTTGGCCTTACCACTGGAATTGCATTATATAGTAAAGCTAGCAAGATCAGGCCAAAGCCACTTCTCCAAGCCACTTCTCTCATGTATCTCCAAGGGCAGATACATGAACCCCTTGCAGTGTGAATGTAAAAATGCTGGTTAGCAATCTAAATCCAAAACACCTATAGTCCCACACTTGTAACTTTTGGTTATTGCCAAACTTTATATTTAAGACAATGTCATTGTTCTCATAAAACCCATTAAGTCTGCAAGTCTTCTCGCTCTGAGTAGAAAAAGAAGCCCCTATTTACTTCTTGACCAAAGGAGTCATAAGATCTGTAAATGTCACAGGTACATGAACACTCTAAACTGAGAATAATGCTAGAGTATATATGAAATCGCTTATAAGATCCCTGCATAAAATATGGTCCAGTACAAGAGGAGGAGGTAGGTGGGAAAGATTTTATAAAATGTTTAAGCTGATTTTCTGCAGCCATATTACCACATGTATTTAAAATCAACTGTTCAGAAAATATCAACAAGGCAAAGACAAAAGTCTATAAAAAGTCTGTCAGTCTAGAGAAAACTTCCAAATCACAGGGCAACATTTCAAATAATACTGTAGCTTCGTTATTTTGCTGGCCCTTGAATTCCATAGGCCAAAGGTATTTGGAAGAGGCAGGTCTAGCAAATGAAGTGACTATCACATGATCAGTACAACAAGTATCTCAACTACACTATGCGGCTGACAGCTCAGAACTTGTAATGTGTTTTAAACAAAGGTGCTGGCTGGCCACAGTGGCTCACGCCTGTAATCCCAGCACTTTGGGAGGCCAAGGCGGGTGGATCAGGAGTTCAAGACCAGCCGGCCAATATGGTGAAACCCCATCTCTACTAAAAAAATACAAAAAATTAGCTGGGTGTGGTGGCGGGTGCCTGTAACCCAGCTACTTGGGGGGCAAGGCAGAGAACTGCTTGAACCTGGGAGGTGGAGGTTGCAGTGAGTCGCGAGACTCCATCTCAAAAAAATAAAAAAATAAAAAAAGTAAAGGAAGGTGCTTGAAATACACCTGATAGAGGTCCCTTTTCTTCTGAACATTTGTTTAGGCCTCTCAAAAGGGGCATCATTTTCATGAAAAGTCCATTTATGTGAACTTGGGGACAAGAGCCCCGGGGTTTTCCATTACAAACCAGTTGATGACTGTCACTGTGTTCTGAAGAATTTCCTTTTTTAAAAAAGAAAATCCAACCCTAGGGCTTTCTGCACTTACTCAAATATGGGCCTGATAATTTAAGTTTTAAAGCGCTCTGACATCCATCACTGCATTTCCTATGAGGTGTTATTCTACGCAGGAGAGAAAACTGAAGTCCAACTAGCATATCTGGCAGAGTCTGCTTCTTCTAGGCTTTTCTTTTTGCCAAAGATCTAGCAGCACAGATTTATTTGCTCCAAAGAAAGGTGGCTCCCCAAAAGGTACTCGGAGCCAGTGTACATTGCAAAGTACAGAGGACGCTTTTTCTCCCAGAAATGGAAAACAACATTTCACAAACTGATATTCTGAAAAAGCATTCAAGAATTTAATCATGACCCTTTAGCCTGAAATGCTGCAGTGATATTTTTACGGCCCAAGAATTCCTAAGCTATTGCTGCTGTCCAGAGCACCCACTCTCTAACTGGCTTAAAATGTGTGAAATGACGTAATGCTTAAATATTTCCTAAGATGCATCTCAGAAGTGACCTCATGCATATGCATGATCACCAGTGATGGATTGAAAACAGATTAATTCTGCTCCACAGCTAAGCATGAAAACATTAAAAAAATGTCTGTAGTTTGTATTCCAGACGCGGACTCCTTCCCCTCCCGAAACTGCATCTGTGACATTTTTTTCATTCCCGATGACATAGTTATGATATTATACTCCATAGTGAAGTTCTTAGAATTAGTTTTCTTTCAGAAAATGGGTACATACCCTGTACATTTCTATCAGTCATTTAATTGGACTAGAAAAGTGACAGTATTTCTGTCACTTTTTAAGAGGACTCTTTGTTTTTTCTTCTCTTAAACCATGAGGATTAGTCTAGTCCATATACTATTCTAAATATTCCATCTCTCTGCCCCAAACCACTGCTTACTTTGGCTGCTTCAAATAACACTGTATTACATAAGAAAGGCAGAAAACAGAACTACCACTGCTTTCTTTGCCTACAAAGAGGAAAGAAATACTGGACGTCATTTTACCTTCATGATGTTTTTCCAAATTAAAAAAAAAAATACTGAGACGGGGTGTGGTAGCTCACTCCTTTAATCCCAGCACTTTGGGAGGCCGAGATGGGTGATTGCTTGAGCCCAGGAGTTCAAGACCAGCTTGAGCAACATGGCAAGACCGCATCTCTACAAAAAATACAAAAATTAGCTGGGTATGGTGGTGTGTACCTGTAGTCTCAGCTATTCCAGAGGCTGAAGTGGGAGGATCACCTGTGGCTGGGAGGTCAAGGCTGCCATGAACCATGATTGTGCCACTGCACTCCAGCCTGGGCGACAGAGTGAGACCTTCTCTTTAAAACAAACAAAACAAAACAAAACAAAACAACACACACACACACACACACGCACACACACAAATAGGCTGGGCGCGGCGACTCATGCCTATAATCCCTGGACTTCGGGAGGCCGAGGCAGGTGGATCACCTGAGGTTAGGAGTTTGAGACCATCCTGGCCAACATGGTGAAACCCAGCCTCTACTAAAAATACAAAAAATTAGCTGGGCATGATGGTGGGCACCTATAATCCCAGCTACTCGGGAGGCTGAGGCAGGAGATTTACTTGGACCCAGGAGGTGGAGGTTGCAGTGAGCCAAGACCACGCCATTGCACTCCAGCCTGGGCAACAAGAACAAAACTCCTTCTCAAAAAACAAAAACAAAAACAAAAAAACAGAAACAAAAACAAAAACAGAAAAACCCTGAAATTAAAATAATACTTATTTAGTTTCATAATCACATCAACCTATGTGAATTTTGTCTGTGTATAATTTTTTTCCCCCAGAATTCAGCTTTTAAGGGATTTTAGCTTTTGAGAAAAATTAGAAAGGATGAAAAATGTCATGAAGAGCTTGAAAGGATTATCAGCGTCCCATCGTTGTCTGCTACAGGTTTTATTACCTCCACCTCACTAAAACCTATAAGCTGCCTCTTAGCTTGAAGACCCAAAAGCACAAGCATCAAGAATTTCTGACAGTTTCATTCAATTTCACATCATTTAACTGCCTGTGGCCTATATGTTAAAGACCGTGCTGAGTTATTTTATAGCCTTATTTCATCCTATCATTATTTTATACGAGGGAAAATGGAAGACATTGAGAGGAGCTTCCCTGGAATGCAAGCACTGCTCCTGTCTTTATATGCCACCCTCCATTTATTCCTCTGAACATGCTACATTTCCATCGTATCCTTTTAGGAAACCTTAATCCAAGTTTCCTAACTACCTTAGAGTTGTTACTTGTTACACCAATTATATCATATCAAATATGGAATGCTATTATTTGAGTACTTCCTAGGACAGTGTGGATGCTATTTTAATGACAATACTAAATAACAATATTTTACTTAATTTTTAATTAAAAGGTCTCCGATTGCCATATGGTTTGCCAATAAAGACCTAACACAATTAGCAAGGACAAAAGCAAGTAAAGCCTATCTTAGTGATATGCACTGTGTTCTTAAAAAATAAAAAAGGAAAACACTCAAAACGTGTCCATTTACCTGCATAGAGCCTCAATGGCATCTCTGTCCAAAAAATCATGCTCCCTCTTGACCAGGGAAATATCGATGGGGAACAGGAAATCTATAAGAAAAATAAACAAATGTATTCGTTGAGCACCTATAACCCAATTTGCCAAATAGCCCAGTCTACCAAAGCGGGGAAGAAACTCTTCAGTAATGTACTGAGCACCTCCTGTAGGATGCCCCATTCCCTATCAAGGTCTATGGGACAATAAGGCAATTCAAGCCAATCCTGCGTCACCGTCCTAAAGGAGCTTCAGCTTTAAAGTGGTAGAAACTCAAAAAATATTGCTTCTGGTCAAGGAGAAGTGGCTCAGGACATTGTTATACCTTTAAACAAAGCAGCAGGCAATAAGCCTCCAGTATAAATGATAATTTAAGCCACAATGACTGTCAGAAGAATGCTGCCTTTTAATGTGGCTGGGCCGTGTGTATGTGTGTGTGTCTTTGCTCACGTGTGATCAGGGAAAAGGTCATGGAAGAAAAATGGAGCCACAGAAAGATCTAGAGAACAATGAAAAGTGGTAGGAAATGGAATGTAATCCACTCACATGGCATCAAGAGCCAAGGAGAATTCAAGATACGCTTTTTTAAAAACAAATATTAGCACTGCAATATGGCCTTGTAGGAACTGATATAACTCCCGGAAAAAGAAAGGGCTAGCTTTAAAGTTGCTATCAAACAACAGAATCTCAAATCCTTTAATCTGTAGAAGAGTTCATTCAGTTCTCTCAAGACAATGAAGAAGCTGTATCAGAACTGAAAACCACAGAGGGGGAAAACAGTCAACTCAGTGGAGGAATTCCTTTCTCTGGACTGCCTAAAAAGATCCCTTAGTAAGTAAATATACCCAAGAAAAGCAGAGTGGAGGTAGCCACTGTGGAAATTTACAACAGCTCTAAAATTGCCACTGGATAAAGGCAAGTTATCACCTTCTTGGAGTGCCAGCTATGAGGGCAAATCATGGGCCTCCTCAGTAGAATGCTACTACAGTACCAGGAGGAGGAGTGTCTCAGTGTGGGGCAACTCTTTGGACCAGACCTGGGTGAAATCAGTCATCACAGCAGGAAACTAGAATCACCACAAGCTAAAAAATTCTCTTTGGCTGGGCACTGCGGCTCACATCTCTAATCCCAGCACTTTGGGAGGCCAAGGAGACAAGATCATTTGAGCTCAGGAGTGTGAGACCAGGCTGGGCAGCATGGCGAGACACTGTCTCTACAAAAAAAATTAAAAACATTTTTATTGGGCATAGTGCCACGCGCCTGTGGTCTCAGCTACATGGGATGCTGAGGTGGAAGATCACCTGAGCCCTGGAGTTTGAGGCTGCAGTGAACTCTCACTACACCATTGCACTTCAGCCTGGATGACACAGTGAGACCCCGTCTGAAAAAAATAAATAAAAAATAAAACATCCCTTTGGCCTTCAAAATGGCTAATGCCACATAGCGGAATAAACATGGCTGTCAGTAGTTTTGGAGATACAGGTAATTAGTCCTGTTCCAGCTCTTGTGGGCACATAACTGTTCACTATGTTTTTATTATTTCTTATGATCACTGGTTTTATGGAATGATATGGAATTCCTTATTCCTAGTAATCTATTTTCTAGAGATAATATATCAGAATGAGTATAAACTTATAGTCTATCCTTTTTTTTTCTGAAGGCTGGAGTTGGATTACTGACATTATTTCCTAAAGGATAATATAGGCAGACCAAGGAAGTGGCTATAATCCAAAGATTTATGAATATATAAAATTTAGTATCACAGAATTACATTTCTTCACTAATTTACAGACCAAGTCTCTCTTAGACAAATGATTAGTGGAACCATTATAATGGAAAAAGAAAAACTTATAGTCAATGCAAACTAGAGCATTAGTAAATGAAGCAAGACAGGTTGTAACACTGTTTGAAGGTTGTGACACTGTATTTTGCTTTTTTTGTTTGTTTGTTTCTAAATTTTTAAAATAGAGACGCAGTCTCACTATGTTGGCCAGGTTGGCCTTGAACTCCTGGACTCAAGCGATCCTCCCACCTCAGCCTCCCAAAGTGCTGGGATGATAGGCATGAGCCACCATTCCTGGCCTGTATTTCACTGTGAATACACACCAAGATGAACTAACAGAGCTGATATTAAGGAATACTTTTTAATATTTACACAGTATAACATCAGATCTATAAATGTAAATTGAAATTTTCACATGCCTGTTACCTACATGTGAGAAAATAACTATATTATTTTAGGAATTTCTAAGTTAGTATACCCAGAGCCATATTCCAGATTCCTTTTCTAATGCAAAATAACAATTTTTTAAAAATCTGGTAGGTATTAAACGCAAGTGAGGAGTGAAAGAATTAAATCAGTAATTTTCTTTTATTTGCCTGGACTCGCTTTTAAAAGATGATAGTTTACTGATGTACAGAAGACGTTCTCTGAACTCAACTTCCACTGTGGGTTGAAAAGCACGAAGTATAAATTGCCAAGTACCCAAATCAAGCTAAACAGGGGAACATGTGTGGGTTGGTATGGCATGTATGGTGTATGTACTCACCCAGCACACAGTGGCAGGAAAAACGGGGAGGCGACGGCCCAGAACAATACGCGGCATACCCCAAAAGTAGGCTTATGCTTCAAAAGACTTGGGAACATGAGGGAACCCCAAATGTAACCTGTGCAAATGCACCCTGTGCTTTAGGATTAGGAAAGAAGTGACACAGGGACTGGAATTGGGTCTTAGCAAACATATATATCACAAGAAAGTGCTACCTGGCAGCAACTCAATGCAAAAAATGAGCATAATTGAAGAAAACTTAATTTCTAAATAGGAGAACAAAAGGACAGCCACTTTGGTGTCACTGCCAATGCAGTTATCTTTCCTTATCTCCAGCAGAGCTATGAACTGAAAATCCAATAGAATGCTGGTCCTCCTTCCCCTAAAGCCCTTTCAAATGTTAACAGGTTAAAACTTCTCTCTAAAGGAAAGACAAGCAACTCCACCAAAATAAGCACGCAAGTTAATCAAAAGAAAGTGGTTGGAAATATTCTCTGGAATGAAGAAACAGTAAGATATTTTACACAGTCTAACAATAAAACAATTCAGAATCCATCTTCTTGGAAAAAAATATCGTACAATCAATCTAGGCTACATAAGGAAGACCAGGTATTCTAACTTGGGAATCACTTTACTATTCACCCAACCTTTGTTTGAAAGTTACCCATAAAATGGAATGCTTTAGTTCATAGCTGTAATTACTTTAAACTGACTTCATATAGAGAATAATGAAACTCCCATTTAAATGAACAGCCTAGGCCAGGTGTAATAGCTCATGTCTGTAATCCCAGCACTTTGGGAGGCCAAGGTGAGTGGATCACCTGAGGTCAGGAGTTCAAGACCAGCTTGGCCAAGATGGTAAAATCCCGGCTTTACTAAAAACACAAAAATTAGCCGGGCATGGTGGCACACACCTGTAATCCCAGCTACTCAGGTGGTTGAGGCAGGTGAATGGCTTGAACCCAGTAGGCAAAGGTTGCAGTGAGCCAAGATCGCACCACTGCACTCTAGCCAGGGCGACAGAGCAAGACTCTGTCTCAAAACAAACAAATAAATAAATGAACAGCCTATTTATCTTGACATGCATGGAGCGTGAGCACTCCCCACGGTATGCAGAAGCTGAGAGAATGATCTTAGTATCCGAGAAATCCCCAGGGCACTGCTAAGAAAATGAGATGGTAAGAATTCAGCCCAGATCCTATTTTTTTTTTTAAACCATTTTTCTCAGTTGAAAAACTGAATGCCACAGAAAACATAATATTCATTAAAAGACAACCTAGAGAAAAGTGAGATGCCTGATTACAAATGGTGGGAAAGATATCTGCAACACATGACCAACGAAAGATTAGTATTCAGAATAAAAAGAGCTCTTATAGATCACTAAGAGAAGCATAATGTGAGCAAACAAATGTGGCCAAGTGACACGAATAAATGCTTCTTACCATTAAGGATTAGGGAAATGGCAGTCAGAACCTGTCTATCATTTTATATCCATTTGGTTGGCAAAAATTAAAGTCTGACAATATCAAGTGTTGAGGGAATGTGAATACTTAGATTGGTAAGAGTGAAAATTGGTACACGCACTTTCGAAAAACTTGCATTGTAAAATTGAACATACATATTCTTTATTACCCAGTAATTCTGTTCCTAGGGATAGAAGTGAGACGAATTATTATGCATGTATCACAAAAGATAGACGTAAGAATGTTCACAACAGCACAGCTTATAAAAGCAAAACAGAGAAAGTCAAAATACCCGCCAACCAGAGTGTGGATATGAATAAACTGTGGTTTCTTGTGTAATACATAATGGTGTATTACAGCAGCCAAAGCAAATGAATAACAGGCCATACAGTACAGAAGACTCTTAACAATACAATATTAAGTGAAAAATAAAAACCCCACGAGATTACATACAGCACAGTACCCTCTTTATAAAGGTAAAAATAACTTTGTAAAAATGTACTTTTCAGGAAATGCAATAGAATTATATAAAAAGAAAGGAAGAAAATGATACTCTTCAGGATGCTGATTACTTTAGGCAGGGAGTGGCAGGTGGCAGACGGGGGAGTGGCAGGCAGCAGACGGGGGAGTGGCATGGGCCTGTTATCATCAAGGTGCTAGCTTTTGTTTTCAGTGGTGGGGGTCTTGCATGCTTACTACATTTTTCTTTTTTAATAAAACATTTAAACTGTAAAACTGCTGAAAATAAGACGCAGATCAGTAATATTCGCGAATAAGGGATTATAATTATGCCAACTTTTTAAAAATAGCATTCCCAGCTTACCTTCATAAAGCTGTGCATACTGGGGGAAACCAGTTGCCCGTAGCCAGTCACAAGCTTCCTTGGCTTCAATTTCTAGAACAGAATTAGAAGAAAAACAAAATTAGCTGTGTGTGCCTCAGCATGCTTATTTTCCCTGAATAAGCTTTGATTTTATGATACAAGCAAAACACGACTACCGTAGAAAATACGGAGAAGCAAACAGACATACACGTTTAATTCAAATGGTTTACATTTTGTATGCGTCTTTTCCGATTTTTTCACACGTACATGAGGATGTATTTTCCCTTTACGAAAAATAAAAATGGGGTCCTGGGAGCAAGTTGCTCATTTTGTGCTGCTTCTGAAGTGCTCTGATTACAAATGGTTATGAAAATAAGGCATCATGAGAAAGTTCAAGAGAGATTAAATAACTCATTTTAAGCCTGGCCAGCCTATTGTACTACTTTTCACTTCAACAAAAGGCCGCAAAGTACCTCCACCAACACGCTAAAATAAAATTTATCTGAGTACAGTCACAGGCTTTCTGACACCCAGGGGTTGGGTGTTTCAAAAGCCCCTGACCTTGTGTTGTCTCACTGTCGAGTGCTCAGGTACTCAACGGGTATTAATCCAGTAGGAGAGGCCCAGGCTGTCAAGGAACATGGAGGGCACGAAGTCAGTAAATCCCACAATCTTGGCAGGCAGAAATGGCTAATAAAGCTTCTACCTCCCTGTGGTTTAACATCTTGTAGATAGTATCGATAAAGGGAAAGGCCAAGAGCAACTGACACACTGTGTTAAAACTCACTGGAGCACATATTTACAATCCTGTTAAAACTGACTCACTGAGGAGGTCCTGGGAACATTAGTTGGTGTCTCTGCTTGCACAAAGAATATTCCTTTCAACTCTTCCTCCCACCTTCCTCAGGCCATAAGAGTACTCAGTTACACAAGTCTATTCACTCATTTACAAAGCTCTCAACATTGCAAAATTAATGCCACATTCAAATCTTCATTAAGCATCTCTCTTAACCAAGTGGAAGACTAATAGTTCATATCAGAAGTGTACAGTCCAGTAACTTTATGTTTCCAAAGCACTTTTTCACCTATTACTTCATGAGTTCCTCGGCCTTTGAAGAAAGGTAATTAAGAAAATCCAAATTCATTAAAGCAAGTGGGAATTTACTCACTGAGCACAGGAAAGAGAGGAAAAAAAAACAAAACCTGTCATCTCCTGATGAGTTCCTTAATACCCAAACTAAAAACAATTATGGCAGTAGCCTGGAAATAAACAGCATGGCAAAGTGAACTTCATTAATCTTTTCAGTGTAGCAGTGAAAGTAGCATTATTCAACCCAAGACTTAGGATTGAATTGGGACAAACGATAGAGTGACATCAGTGTGGAAGAACTTCAACGTCTGCACTGAATAGAAGTGTAGCATTGTCCAAAGTGAAACATTTGAGCTTACTTTTTTTCATATGTGTATATCCACATTTTGTCTCAGTAAGGAAATAAAGATGTTTTAAATAAAATTATAAAATAAACACTTCCCAGAAAACGATATTGCTGGAAAAACATATACAAGCTCAACATTTTATTTTAAAAAATAAGGAAATTAGACTGGGTGTGGTGGCTCACGCCTATAATCCCTGCATTGGAAAGGCTGAGGTGGGAGGATCATTTGAGCCCAGAAGTTCAAGACCAGCCTGGGCAACATGGCAAAACTCTGTCTCTACCAAAGAAAAAAATTACAAAAATTACTCAGGGGTGGTGGTGCCCTCCCATAGTCCCAGCTACTCTGGAGGCTGAGGTGGGAAGATTGCTTGAGCTTGGAAGGCTGAGGCTGCAGTGAGCCTCAATGGTACCACTACACTCCAGCCTGGGCAACAGAGTAAGACTCTGTAACCAAAAGAAAAAAAAAAAAAGAATGAAGACATTACTTTTGCCCTATCAGTGTGCCCGCCCCCTCCTACAAAAGATAGATATGGAAAGAAAAAAGGCTGTTTGTCTTTAAAACTATTTTAAAAACACATTTCATTAGGCTACTTAGAGGTTATTTTCATTGAACAGATCGTTAGACATTGAACAATAGATTGTTAAAAAGTAAATGTGCTTGCTTTCTTAATATTTAACTTAATAAGTGGTGAGTAACCAAAAATTCTCAATGCCCACCCTTTTTTGACGAGAGAGACACGGCACTAGGTCAGCACACATACAAAAGCCTTAATTAGATACCAATTCACTAGCCAATACTGCCAGAACATGCGCCTGCTTTACTTAGAAAAATAGTTTCATGCCAAGAGGCATGGAAGATGTAAGATACTAGTTTTTTAAACAATCTAACTTTACAAAGTATTTATTTAAGCCCCTATGTGATTTGAGGAACACAAAAATGCATATTCCTGTCTTGTTCTCTTTTTTTTTGAGAAGAGTCTCGCTCTGTGGCCCAGGCTGGAGCGCAGTGGCGCAATCTCGACTCACTGCAAACTCCGCCTCCCGGGTTCACGCCATTCTGCTGCCTCCGAGTGGCTGGACTACAGGCGCCCGCCACCGCGCCCGGCTAATTTTTTGTATTTTTAGTAGAGAGAGGTTTCACTGTGTTAGCCGGGATGCTCTCCATCTCCTGACGTCGTGATCCGCCTGCCTCGGCCTCCCAAAGTGCTGGGATTACAGGCGTGAGCCACCGCACGTGGCCTTTTTTTTGAGACAGAGTCTTGCTCAGTCACCTAGTCTAAAGTGCAGTGGTGCGATCACTGCTCACTGCAGCCTCGACCTTCCGGGCTCAAATCATCCTCCCATGTCAGCCTCCCAAGTAGCTGAGATAAGAGGCATGAGCCACTGTGCCTGGCTGTCTCTCTTATTTTCTACTGGCCCTGTCTAAGAAATAAAATGACTCGAAATGGTCATAAATTGATCAGAAAAGCTGTGTCAAAATAGTCACTCTTAGGGCCACTTAGTTAGAAAGAATGTAAACAGGCGAACGTTTGCTTCTTCAGCAGATAATTTAATTAACAGTTTACACAACAGCTAAAAAGCAGTACTCCCCAAATGGCAGAGATCTAGTCATCTTATCCTTACTTGTCTTCGCCCTAAAAAAATGAGAATTTGTCTTTCCTTTGGATATGAAACCATGGGAAATAGACAAGCATATATATGACTATTTTACCAACACAAAAAGTCCACTCATGAAAACTTAGGCTGCATTCAAATGAGACCCTAACCCACTATTTTTGTAGAAATCAGAATTAGAAAACTGTAAAAAGTTGTCACATATTTTTTAGAAAATGGAATACTTGTTCACCTCACTCCTACACTTTCCAATTCATGGGTCAAGAGAAAGTACTAACAATCCAATGTACGTACTGATTTTAAAAAAATCAGTTATTTTTGTTTTATTTAATGTGAAATGAACCTATATCTACATGCGAGTCACAGAGTTTCATTCCCCGATTCATGCCATTACTTTTGCTCTAATCTCCTAACTCTTAATAAAACTCTGGGTCTGTAGACTCCCCTCTCTGAAGAGAATCTGTCCACCAATCCTGACTCGTCAAACTTTCTGAGTTACAGCATTAATCTTCTCTCTCCTTCGCAAACTTGGCTGGAGCTGCATGCCTAAAGAATCAGGTCTTGGCTCTGTGCAGTGGCTCACGCCTGTAGTCTTAGCACTTTGGGAGGCAGAGTTGGGTGGGCTGTGTTGCACCCAGGAGTTCAAGACAAGCCTGAACAACATAGGGAGACCCCATCTCTACATAAAATACAAAAATTAGCCAGGCATGGTGGCGCACGCCTGTCGTCCCAGCTACTTGAGGAGTTGAGGTGGAAGGACCACTTGAGCCCAGGAGGTCGAGGCTGCAGTGAGCCGTGACCACACTACTGCATTCCAACGTAAGCAACAGGGCAAGACCCTGTATATTTAAAAAAAAAAAAAAAAAAAAAAAAAAGGTCTAAACACCCTGGCAAGGTTTTCAAGGCTCTCCACTTGGCCAACCTAATTGTTCAGCTCCCTGTAGCCGAGCATTCTAGCCAAAGTAAATTTGGTGCTCATCTCCACACACACTGTACTTCAGTGAATTCTCTGGCCTGAAATGCTCAAGATGAAATTTCGCTCATCCTTCAAGATCCCAACCAAATGCCACCTCCTCCATGCAGTCTTCCCATTTGCCTCTCAACAGTTCTATCAATGTGTCACTTTACTGAGTGCTTAATATGCATAAGGCCCTGTCTAAGCACTAGTGCATATTAGTTCATTTACACCTCATATTGATCCTAAAATGTGGATTACTAATATCTCTGAGATAAACACATGAGGAAACAGATAGAGAAGTAACCACCTCTCCTTAAAAATGAGCTTTCTGAGGCCAAGCAAAGTGGTTCACGCCTGTAATCCCAGCATTCTGGGAGGTCTAGGTAGGAGTATCATTTGAGGCCAGGAGTTCAAGACCAGTCTGGGCAATAATTGCGAGACTTCATCTCTACAAAAAATGTAAAAAGGAAAAAGAGTTTCTGCCTGTATTCTCAGCTACTCAGGAGGCTGAGGTGGGAGGATTTGCTTGGGCCCAGGACTTCAAGACCAGCCTGCACAATACAGTGAGACTTTATCTCAAAAAAAAAAAAAACAAAAAAAACTTATAAAAATTTTTTAAACAATGAGATTTCTACATTCAAATGCCATAGTGAGAGAAGTAACTATTACTTACAAAAATGCAAGGTTCTTCCTGCAAGACAGGTTCTTCCCTTTAAAAATATTGTATGTAATAGCCTGGGCGTGGTGGCTCACACTTGTAATCCCAGCACTTTGGGAGGCCAAGGCGGGCAGATCACCTGAACTCAGGAGTTCGAGACTTGCCTGGCCAACATGGTGAAACCCCGTCTCTACTAAAAATATAAAAATTAGCCGGGCGTGGTGGCAGGTGCCTGTAGTCGCAGCTACGCAGGAGGCTGAGGCAGGAGAATTGCTTGAACCCAGGAGGCGGAGGTTGCAGTGAGCCGAGATTGGGTCACTGCACTCCAACCTGGGTCACAAAACGAGACTCCAGCTCAAAAAACAAAAACAAAAACAAAAACAAAAACAAAAAAAAATACATATAT